TTTGAGACAGAGTCTCACTATGTCGCCCTCAGTAGAGTGGTGTGGTGTCACAGCTCACAGCAACTTTCAACTCTTGGGCTTAAGCGATTCTCTTGCCTCAACCTCCCAAATAGCTGGGACTACAGGCGCCCCTACAACACCTGGTTATGACTATTTTTTTGGTTGTAGTTGTTGTCGTTTGGCAGGCCTGACTGGGTTTGATCCTGCCCCCTCCAGTGTATGTGGTTGGCACCCTAACCTCTGAGCTACAGGTACTGAGACCACAGTGAAGAATTTAAGGTAAAGTGACATGATGTTTCCAACTTTCAGTGATTCGGGGAAAATGCAAATAGATATAGATATAAATTTAGATATATACTTCCGCTATCAGTTTCCTAGGGCTTGCCAGCCCCTACAATTGCACAAAATGTTTAAGATATTTCTTAGAATATCTTTTCCCCCCTCTCATTGTTTCTGTTTCTGTGGCAAACCCAGGTTGATAACCACAGTCTCTAATACATAGTAGAAGCCTAGTAAAACATATCATCAAATGCTAAGAATGAGTAAATCTGGGTGAAGAGAATGCAGGAATTGCTTTTAGTACTCTTGCAATGCCTCAAATTTTAACATCTCAACATGGAAAGCTACAAAAAATTACTCTGAAAAGGAGTGCATAGCTTCATCAAAGGTTCAGGGCATAGAAAATGTTAAGGACTCATGACTTTTTTATTTTGAGATAGAGTCTCATTTTGTCACTCTGGGTAGAGTGCTGTGGTGTCATAGCTCACAGTAACCTCAAACTCTTGGGCTCAAGCAACCCTTCTGCCTTAGCAGAAGCACCTTACCCAGCACCTGGGTAGCTGGGACTACAGGTGTACACCACTATGCCCAGCTAGTTTTTCTGTTTTCAGGAGAGAGGGGGGGTCTCAATCTTACTTAGGCTGGTCTTGAACTTGTGAACTGAAGCGATCCACCCACCTTGGCCTCCCAGAGAGAACCTATGTTTTAAGGTGGATGTAACTTTGGTCCAAAACCCTAAAAGTCAAATGGCTGTGGCCTGAGCTTCCCTGCTCCAGCACCCCCCCCTTGAGGTCAGAATCAGAACTACCCATATTCCTATGACGCCCTGGAAATCCCACAAACTGACTTTCAAAATTCAGCTGAGTAGTGTATACATGGCTTCACTAAGTGGAACTAAAACTTGGTGAACATCACGCGCCTGCATGTCCATCCTCTAACTCAAACATCCCATTTGTGAAAGTCTG